GCTAGATCCTTCCCTAAATGACTTTATTGGGTCCGAGCCCGAGACGTACGATAACACAGGATGTTCACGATAACCTCAAATTTGGAGACAACTGAGAATTCCCAAGTGAATTGACTACCGTTTTACTCCGGTAACTAGCACGAAGGAATCTTGTGCATTTTCGTAGGAGCCCTTGGCTATCTAGGACGCAAGTTTAAGATGTGTACAGGGAAAAGTTCTAAGCGGTTTATTAGATGACAGAGGCATCTTCGATTGCTGCTTTTATGCCTGAGGTACTTGTCTTTTCTTCACCTAGGATAATTAAGAAAATATGTATTCATCCATAGACTTTTCATGTAGTCCACGCCATTCCGAACTTTTTGCGGTGGAATCAGTTCCGGTCTCGGGATCATTTAAGATACAATTTGAGGATCATTTGCAGTTCGGGGTTCATTTGCGGGCCTGTACAGGTCAGTCACAAGCATATCAGGAAAGCCAAAGAGGTGAACTCTAAGGTAAATTTTTCGTTCTCCACGAGTCTTTCGACCGCNGCCTGCACAGGTCAGTCACAAGCATATCAGGAAAGCCAAAGAGGTGAACTCTAAGGTAAATTTTTCGTTCTCCACGAGTCTTTCGACCGCTGAAACACACGTATCTAGAATGAAATTTATTGGGCTTTATGGAACTGTTGGTTTTATTGCGATTCGGGACTTTTCCTTTTGGGGAGAGAGCGATTTGTGGAGTGACGTCTGGCCAGCGATCGATAGAGTGGTCTGCCTTTCCCTTCTTTTAGAAGGAGAGACAACGATTTCGAATAACTTCATTAAACGCCGGCAGAATGGCTTCAAAATCGGCACAAGAAGACACGTACGCGACACATTTGAGGTAGGAAAACTTTGTTTCGAATTGGATAGTTATTTACACAATTTTTTTTACGATCAGTGACTTTCCCATACAATTCTCTATATACACAAGCTGTTCCACACACCACACATGCAGAGTCGAATTTTGAGTTTGGGAAGCCTGTGCTTTAATTAAAGTTTTCTCTAGACTTTGAGACCGTGACCCGTTTGATAAATACGCACTCCACCCCCGTTAGAATGTTCGTTGCCGTTGAACCGTGGTGGCAAAAAAGAAATCCAGCCTTACTCAACTCCAGCTCAGTTATTGCTTCTTTGATTTTTAGGCAAAGGGAAGAGCACAGAGGAACGGTAATTTCCTCTTCCCAACAGTTCATGCCCACATCTCGTGCGCTCCGCATTTCTCGTATCGAATAGCTTCTTTACCGAAAATCAAACTGGGTACCAAAGTGGAGTCGCCGTGAAGAGAAATGGTCGCATTTCCCCACAACAATCACTGATGACTTGCCTTCGGCTGCGTTCGGGTATATGTACTGAGTTTATTGAATGATTATTTTGCTTTTTAGTCTATAGAAGTACATAGGGTAATTTAGAGACGACGAGGGACAAAATCGCTGTAAACAATTTACATCAGAAAAGATTATTAAATGTATTGTGCTCCATATGATTTTCCCATCGTTATTATGACGTCCGAGGTCGTTACCTTATTTCTGGAAGGTCTCTAAGACTTGCTAAACCTTAAAATTTTATCCTTTATTCTCCGGTGCTCGCTACTTTAGGGACTGACAAGAGGTAACTGTTACTTTCCGGAATTGAAGGGTTGCACTTGATGACAGGAAAGAACATATAACTTTCTAGAGATTTCCCTAAAGCAAAGAACGTTAGGGATGCCATAACATGAGGAATAACTACATTCCCGTTTCAATTTCATGGAATCGTGCGTAAGCGAAAACACCTCGAGTTAAAGATCAATAAGTCCTGTCAAAAAATAAAGATCGAACGTGCGAATACTTTATTCCTCCTCTAAGTTAGCGTAATTCTTGTTTGCTTAAGGAAACAAACTCTAATTAATTTGCAGTTACCTTCCGTGAAAGGAATCTCGAACACTTATGACAAGTGAATAACCAGAACAATGAGTAAAAAATCCACAGCCGTGATTGTGCTTTAACCAAAAAGTATGCAGTAGATACCTGGAATATTCATCATTTTTTATTATTACAATTTCGAATTCATCAGTTTTAACAAATTCGAGTTACAGTACCAGCCTTCCTTATATTAGAGTTGATTAAATTTAAGGACACGGTAGAATTCACAATTAACTAGCTATACTAACCTACATTAACCTACACTGGCTTGATAACCAACTGCAAGGGGAAAAATTGGACCTTTTCCTCCCCACCGCTCCCGAGAAACAAACCCCGGACAAGCGATGGACATACCAGTAAGCCTACATATCACAATAAAGTATTTGACGGTGTACATGTTTTATTTTTTTTGTAACTGTACTGCGCGAGTCGTAGGGCAACGCTCCTCTTCTGTTGTTGTGGAGAGAAGCGTGGAAAAACATCGAGTGTCGTCCTCTAGAACGGCTATGATGCTGTTACAAGTTACATGATGCCCCGTCCACACTACGCCGGAGAAATTTGAAAACGCAGCTTTATTTCTACGGTTAGGCCCACCGTCCATACTATACCCATCACAAAAACCAGGCTTTTCGAAAACGCTCTTCAAACCGGAGGAATTTGAAAACGCCGGATTTCATTTTCGTGTCACGACGACGTCACGATAATCATGAGTGTGATTTCCCTGTCCGAGGTTTCCTCAAACACAAATCCAAAATGACCGATGATTGTTGCGTTCTCAAATTTCTCCGGCGTAGTGTGGACGGAAAATTTTTGATCCGTTTTCAGAGTGAAAACGCCGTTTTCAAATTTATCCAGCGTAGTGTGGATGGGGCCTAAAATATTGCATCAGAAATCGTGGCATAAGTAATTTTACATCAAAATTATTTTTAAATAGATATAAAGTGTATTGCATGACAACTTCTATAAAACGGACATTGACGCTCAAAGCACAAATACGTTAAAGATGTCCGTTACATCGTGACAAAGCTAGACATCTTTTTTTCCCCCGAAAAATTTCCGGTTTCATTCCACAAGATTGCTCGCTACATCGTTGTTTAACCGTGAATTACGTAAGCTTAGAAAACCATTTTTTAAGTTCTGAGTGCAAGGAAATTATTTTATCTAGCAACTGGAGAGATACGATAATATCCAGTGTTGTCAGCGGTTATTATGAAGAGCCATCTCGGGTCCAGTCCACTTGCTTACTTCGTTCCCCCATCATTCCCGTCGGCTGGTGGGCGGTTCTGGAGGTGCAATATGCTCTTGAGGGAATCACTCATGTAATAAGGCTTCTCTGCACTGCCGTCATTTATCTTAAGATCAACCACTAACAACAAAAAACGTTAGATTTCAAAACTCTATCAGAGATGTAGGGAAATGTTTTACACGAACAGTAAGGGTTCAGACCAGACTGTTACTGTCGTAATAGTTTTTATCAAGAGTAACCATGGTAACCCTTTCGCATAATTGTCAGCTAATTTGAGATAAGGTAGACTACGAGTAGTCCCTCTTTCGCTTTGTCCGTCGAGCGAGACCGTAAATAAACCGCGAGGAAAAAATAGCAGCGCGAGATCCTGGGGGCAAGACGAGCATGCTTCTCGTCCCCAAGAGTCCGCGCGGCCATTTTTTCTCGCGGTTTTCTTTCGCGTCACGCACGACGGAATAAGCGAAAGAGGGATAACTCGTAGACTAGAGCAGTGATGCATGGCCCAAAGGGCCTTTTGATTTTGTGTGAGAAGGGGTGGGCGGACGGGGGACGTTCTGGATTCTTAACTCAATCAAAAGTTATTTCAGTAAGATAGAAACAGCTGGCTTTGAGTCATCACCAAGAGATTGAAACCTTACTACGTTCATTATTTTCAGTTAAGAGTGTTTAATTTTCCCTCCGTTGTAGCTGTCTTCAGAATGAAAAGAGCTAAGATCGTCTGACTACGTGTTTACTGTATACTCACAGAAGCACAGGAATATGGTGTCGATGGCCATGTCGTACACATCAAAGAACAGGACTGCCACAGCGTACGCAAATATCACCATGGCCTGGCAGGAGATGAACCAAACATGGAGTATGTTACGTCAAAGCATGTAAGAAACATACGATCAACCCATAATCAAATAGACTAAGAAATAGTAAAGTGTCTAATAAGAAGGGATATCTGCTCGTAACCGGTACAAATGCGGTGATGGGATGTGCCAAGGCCAGTCCTGTGACTGAATGACCGAGTGACTGATAGGAAAGGCCTCCATCCACTTGATGCCTTTTGCTCGAAGGGGTTCCATTGTGAATTACTTCAGCATATTCCCGTGCAATCTCGTTCATTTTACTGCACAATGAGATTTGTACCATAATTTCACGAGTGATAAATTACACCTTAATTCTGACGCGAAATGTCAGCGTTATTTTATCATTTCACATGCAAAATTACAAAATTGCTATGGTATCGTTGTCTCGATACAATAACAAGTCAAAAACTCACGATTGTGAGCGTACTTTGTCACCCATGATGATAAAAGGTTATCAAATGGTACACTCGTGAAATTCGGAAATAACTTCACTTGTGTTCTGTCAACTTAATTTTGACAAAACGCGCGTAATATTATGTCCTAATTTGACTCGTCAACAATTCATTACCCATACTTATGATAGCTCCAGCAATGACGTTTTCTAGCCAATAGAATAAATTACTGTCAATAAGATCTCAAGCAAGCACAGGCCCGCAAAAGAAATGTAGAGAGCATTGTACTCAAAGTAGCACTGCGAAGGGGGCACGGATAGCTGTACTCGACAAGAACAGCCTTGAACTTACAATCGTTGGCACGACGTCATACTGAAGCGAATCCGGATCATCGCTATTTAATTTGTCGAACCAAAAGAAGCTGCAAACAGCTGAAAAATAACAGAGGAAAAAAGTACGCATCACTCAGAGAATTTCCTATTAACAGGGCTGCTGACTTTTATTACAAAGATGGGGACTTTTTTCGCCTTTAAACCAGAACTTAGGCTCGAATTTCGCTTGTATGGCTCCTTGTCTTTGTTGAGCACAAGTAAAGTTTCTTGATCACCGCTAAATAACAACATATTTTAATAAAGAGAATTTAAAATTTTGATCGGAAGTGGCATACATAGATTTCGTTATGGAGAACTTTGGAGAGAGTGGACGTTTTCAGCTTGGGTAGTTTGTTGCCCCATTTCAGACCATGTGATGATACTCTTGGGAATTCTTACTTTCAAATTTTCAAATGGTCGCTTGCACGTGAATGAATAATTTTTAGATGGATAAAGAACAATTCTCGTGGTCTGTGATGGGAAAAACAAACCATCCAAGCTAAAAAGGTCTATTCTCTCCGTTATCGGTGAAAGCCGGCTTTAAACTTGAGGTCCTGAAGGTCTATAGGTGCTGTAATCGAACGGTTTTAGGTGGAGATCAAGCAGTGGATACTCACGGGAACGAAACCAGCGTTACTAGCGAAAACGTAGTCCAAGAAGGACTAGCCAATCAAATCACTAGTTTCCAGAACACCTTTTATTCATAGCAAGGCTCTGCAGGCTAAGAGGGACGGGCGACTCTGGGTACGAGAATAATTTTCTTTACGCCCCACAAATTAAAACAAACGCAACACAATCAGTGAAGAAAATTGCCGTTCCTCAACTAAAGATTGAAATAGCATATGGCAATAACGAATGAAAACCATTACGCACCAACAATTCCAACCACCAGTAGCTTGCCCAGGAACAGCAAGAATGACGTCACACTGTTCACTGCTATTACCCTATTGATGAAGAACACGTTACATCAGTAACTAACAACAACCTGTGCTGCCCTAGCTTTGCAGAAAAAATATCACAAGGCATAAAACACGACAGCACGTACAGGATTCACCATAAGTAAAAGAGTGCGCGCGTTTGAAGCGAAAATGTTTATGTCCAAAAATGTCGTGGCGGCGAAAACCAAGAAAACAAGCTCTTGAAAGAAAGAGAAGCTTTCGCTTTTACACCGGTAATATTGTTTCCTAGTCGCTAGAAGTGAGAATTCGTATATAGAGTTTGCATTTAACTATTCGANAAGCGATGGACATACCAGTAAGCCTACATATCACAATAAAGTATTTGACGGTGTACATGTTTTATTTTTTTTGTAACTGTACTGCGCGAGTCGTAGGGCAACGCTCCTCTTCTGTTGTTGTGGAGAGAAGCGTGGAAAAACATCGAGTGTCGTCCTCTAGAACGGCTATGATGGTGTTACAAGTTACATGATGCCCCGTCCACACTACGCCGGAGAAATTTGAAAACGCAGCTTTATTTCTACGGTTAGGCCCACCGTCCATACTATACCCATCACAAAAACCAGGCTTTTCGAAAACGCTCTTCAAACCGGAGGAATTTGAAAACGCCGGATTTCATTTTCGTGTCACGACGACGTCACGATAATCATGAGTGTGATTTCCCTGTCCGAGGTTTCCTCAAACACAAATCCAAAATGACCGATGATTGTTGCGTTCTCAAATTTCTCCGGCGTAGTGTGGACGGAAAATTTTTGATCCGTTTTCAGAGTGAAAACGCCGTTTTCAAATTTATCCAGCGTAGTGTGGATGGGGCCTAAAATATTGCATCAGAAATCGTGGCATAAGTAATTTTACATCAAAATTATTTTTAAATAGATATTAAGTGTATTGCATGACAACTTCTATAAAACGGACGTTGACGCTCAAAGCACAAATACGTTAAAGATGTCCGTTACATCGTGACAAAGCTAGACATCTTTTTTTCCCCCGAAAAATTTCCGGTTTCATTCCACAAGATTGCTCGCTACATCGTTGTTTAACCGTGAATTACGTAAGCTTAGAAAACCATTTTTTAAGTTCTGAGTGCAAGGAAATTATTTTATCTAGCAACTGGAGAGATACGATAATATCCAGTGTTGTCAGCGGTTATTATGAAGAGCCATCTCGGGTCCAGTCCACTTGCTTACTTCGTTCCCCCATCATTCCCGTCGGCTGGTGGGCGGTTCTGGAGGTGCAATATGCTCTTGAGGGAATCACTCATGTAATAAGGCTTCTCTGCACTGCCGTCATTTATCTTAAGATCAACCACTAACAACAAAAAACGTTAGATTTCAAAACTCTATCAGAGATGTAGGGAAATGTTTTACACGAACAGTAAGGGTTCAGACCAGACTGTTAC